ATGTTTCAAATATCGATGGTGGTGTTGTGGGACACTTGGTGAAATTTTTCATTGATGCAAGTAAAGCGGGTGTTGGTCAACTAGAGATTGTTGTTCAGGATGGTTTATTACCATGTAATGCGATACCATATGAATCGTGTCGTTTCGAAGCAATATTTCTACCTAATAAACCTGGAAAACATACGATCGATATTAAATTTAATGGATTATCTGTGCCAGGTAATCCGATGAACCAAAACGACGAAGAGTATCCTATGTATTTTTATCTGAATCTATTTTTAGGTAGTCCATTCACATGTTATATCAATGATCTCTCTCGTGTTACTGTATCCGATAGTTTGACAAGTGCTCAGGTTGGAGTTCCACTCTCATTTGACATTCATCATTGGGATTTGTATGATGATCAAAATCAATATGTTCCATTGGATATCTTAATAACTGGTGAATAGATTCTCGTTTTCAAAAGTATTTTATTTAGTTTTCTCTTGATCTTTTTCTTTTTTGTTAAGCTCCATCGGGTCGATCTGTTCCCTTTACACGGTCACAATTGAACGAAAGTATTACACACATTGATTATATTCTAAATGAGATCGGTAAGTAAGTAAATACCACATGGGGAGAAAGGAAAAGAGGAGAGATCATCTCATCGGATCAAAAGCAGTTGATAGATGTTTAAATAATGTTGATAGTTGATAAATCCGAAATCGGTGACGGTGATGATGATGATGATGATGATGATGACAATGGTAATAGTCAACAATTTACACGACGTTTGAGTTTTACAGAGAAAACGAAACAGCGTTTAGAAATTTATCGACGTCGTTCATTACAACAATTTCATGATGATGGTAGGTCATCGATATCGTTTCGTTTTTTTGCATAATATTGAAGGTTTGAGAAGTCCTATAAATTCGATGACAACGAAATGATTTGTTCAAATTCAAATTAGATACAGGACACTCTTAATTAAAAATGAAAGTCAATTTTCATTGTATTAATTAATGTAACAATTGTTTCACTAGTATGTATACGAAATCAAGGACATCCCAACGTCCCTCTCCCTCTCTCTCCCTCTTCCACTCAACTTTCATATGTACATACATATATCGAATGGCATATCTCTTTCGTCCTTTTTTCCGTCGTCGCTGTTGTTTGATATGCATTCAGACAGACCTTCATACATAGATCGAGAAGAAAAGGATGACGAAAAGAAAACACTGCTGTGGTTTCCACCTCTTCTTCACTCTCTCTCTCGCTCTGTTTCATATACACTAACTTCTCTTTTTTCGATGTCGTTTAATTGTAGACATTATTGCCATCGAAGAATAGCACCGTTCGACTGTTTTTCCTTGAATACAATTTTACATTGCACATATATATATATATTCTAATATTAATTAAATTAGTTCTCATTCGAACATATTGTAAATCAATATGTTAGGAATTCACAGACAATGAGCTGGTTGCTTTCATTTATATATTTTTTCTTTGTCTCTAGGTACACATCGCGTTGACATCCGTTCGAATAAAAGTTGCAGTGGAAGAATGGATATTAATGGTTCACCATTTGCTCTCAAAGCATATGATACCGATCGATTAATAGTCTCAGATATTCCACGACTTGTGACACATAATCAACCAGTTGAATTTACAATCGATGCGTCGAAAGCAGGAGAAGGTCAACTTGAAGTTGCAATTAACGATGGACTTGTACCAAATCAAGTAAAAGCATTGGGCAATTCGAAATTTCTTTTTACATTCATACCTAAAACTACCGATCCACATTTTGTTTCGATTAAATTCAATGGACAGCTATTACCTGGTAATCGATACATTTTCTTCTCTGTTCTAACTTTGCTTTGCTTTTGTTTCTTTCATTCATCAAGATTTTCCCAAAGAATGTCAAATATTTTCAACAGAAGACATCACTACTCGTGGTCCTGGTCTAAGTCAAGCATTACTCGGTGCACAAACATGGTTTACTGTCGAAACACCCCATGGAGAATCCAATGATGTGAAAGTTACTGTCCTCACACCGAATAATGAAGAATTAAATCCAACCACACGTGTCACCGCCGATGGACTCCGAGTCGATTGGATGCCATCGGAAGTTGGTACTTATACTGTTCACGTCACATTTGCTGGTAATGCTGTACCGGGCAGTCCGTTTCGTGTGAAATGTTATGATCCAAAAAATGTTCTTATTACTCCGCCAACAAGTGATAGCGCCGTTCGAAAACCAACGAGATTTCTAGGTAAAAGCCGTTTATATGTACACATCGATGTGCAATTGATCTTTTCGAAATAGTTGATGCATCTCACGCTGGTGAAGGCAACCTTGAAATTAGTGTAAATCATTCCGGTCGTAACATTCCTAATCAAGTGAATCCTATTGGCAATAGCCGTTTCGAAGTTCATTTTACTCCACACGAAGCAGTGGTACATTATTGCAATGTGTTATTCAATAGTGAACCTGTTCCAGGTAATTAACAACAAACAGAAAGAAACGACAGGCGAGATTTTCAAAATGCTCGATCGTCACCCGTAGACGGCATCCATAAGATTTTGTTCTTTTCCTAACGTAAGACAACAGCATGTCAAATAGATCTCTTATTTTGATTGCAACACATGCTTAATCTTTCATCAGACACGTTATTAATGTTCAACAGCTATTATCTATTATGTTTTGAGTCGCGTAGTCTTCGTTCGATGATATATCGCTAGCGATCGTCTTTGTTTTGTTGACCACGAGGTAGAAGATGAGAGTATAAACAAAAACTGACGATGCATAGACATGCCATTAGATAGGTGAACGAAGAGAATGAAGAAATGTGGGTGAAGCAAAACGAAAAAAAAAAGAGACGAAAGTGGACATAAATGTATATATGCAGCTCTCTCAAGCGCATCAACTTTACTAAGCGAGAAAGTGCATGAATGAGTAAGCGAAACAATTCAATTTTCAATTCATTTCAAATACTATATAGGAAGAAAGCATACGCGTGTGTAATGCTTCATGTTGATCATCCCGTTCTTAATGGTGATGGGACATCATCCTTGGTTCATTCATTTTCAGGTTAGATCCCTCAGGCGTTGTGATAAGATTGAACACGTTCGAAAGCTTTCGTCTCTCTTATTTACGGCAAGAAGAAACAGGAAAGTCAAAGGATAAGAAGCCGAATGCTAAATGCACACATATCATAATTATTAGTAACAATGTGTTGCTGCATTTCGAGCGGCTGTCCATGTAGTTCATGGTTGGATAGAGAATTTTATATCTATGATGATGGGTTCACTGATTATAAACGTGATAGACATCATTCAATTTGTTTCTACGGTGTTAAATGATTTGTTTGTTTTCTCTTATTAAGGAAGTCCGTTTGCGGTTAATGTGATGGATACGCAACGTGTGGTCGTGTTTGGAAAAGGTTTAGGATCTGTACCAGTCAATGTTCCGACTTCGTTCACAATCTTAACACAAAATGCTGGCGCTGGAGAATTGAAATGTTCAATAAAAGGTGGAGTAGCAAGCTTTTTTCTTCTTTACTTTTTGAAATTCATACCTTGGTGATGGTCTCGAGTAGTAGTTCTTTTGTTTTGGTGTTTTGTTTTATTTTTACCTAATCTAGCTTAACAGATTTAACGAAACTAACTTAATGTAAGTTGAAACGTACGTTTGAAATGAACGGAGCATACAACCATTCATTATTCTATTCACTAGATCCTGATGATCATGGAGTTTCTTGTGTGATAGCCAAGACAGATACCAGTCGATATGAAGTTTCATATACACCAGATACCGTTGGTATGTACGATCAAAACTACCACTGTCTACTTCATTCATATATGTCGCTTTTAGGTGATTATAAAATTGAAGTATTACATAATAATGTTCCCGTCGATGATAAGCCATATATTGCTCGGGTTTTTGATATCAATAAAGTTATGATTTACGATTTTCCGTCGTCAGCTATTGTCGATACAGCGACTTATTTTATAAGTAAAGCTGTGTATTAGTCCATTGTCGTTTTTTCACCTTTCTATTTGATTTTAGTTGATGCAACTGATTCCGGTTCGGGCAACCTGGAGATTGCTGTATCAATCAATGATAAAAATATTCCGAATTATGTTCAAAATGAAGGCGGTGCTCGTTTTCGAGTCAAATTTACTCCCGATCAAAGTGGAATGTACCATATACATATAAAATTCAATGGAATTGATATTCACGGTAAATCACAAGTTTCGATTAACTCAAAACTAGAAGAGAAGAAAAAAAAGGAAGGCTTTTCTAACATTTACTGCATATTGGCAAAGGAATGCATTGTAGAGAATTTTATATAAGAAATGTCCTTTCACATTTGATCGTCGTCTCAAAACACAGGGAAAAATCCAAGGTGACACTCGTAATTGGTTATACATTTCGACGAGAACTAATGATAGAGAAAATTTACGTGAAAACGAATGAATCTTTTATTCAATTTTCTCGATAACCTTCGTTGCTGTTTATACCTATTAAACTTTTGAGGAAAATAAGACACCAAGGACGAAACATCTTTCCCGTTTAAAACAATTTCGTTTTTTTACATTTGTGTATATTTAAAGAAAATTGAAACGTAAGGTCCTTTCTCTATGCAAATGATGAACTACATGTCACGCAGAGTTGTGGACGAGAGATATACACATATCGATAGGACATTTTCACGGTCCACAAAATGGACTATCACTCGTTTTCTTTTGTCCTTCTCTCGAACATTTATCAAATTTTCATTGTTTGGAAAGGCACGATAAAAGACACAACTTTCTCCTCTGTACAATAGTCAAAGAGAAACTACGTAAGAATTGCGCTCGATGTCGCCGATAAATACTCGTAGGAGAGTAACGAATAAGAATGTACCGCTCAAGACAGGTAGGGAGATAAAATAATGAGATTTGAATTAACAACAGTTACAAGAATCTTTTCTTCTCTTGTTTCTTTTCTAGGATCGCCATTTACATGTAATGTATTTTCAAGTGATTTTATATTTGAAAACTATGAATATGCGCCGATTAACAAACGTACAGCATTTGTTCTGAAGCCAAAAGCGAATTCTGTCTTGAATCCTAATCTTTACATTAATGTGATTTCTCCATCTGGCCATGAATGCGAAGGCAAAATTGAAGAAAAATCTCCTAATCTCTACACAGTTCGTTTTATTCCGAATGAAATCGGTGATCATCAAATCATCTTCTACAGCGATAAAGACAAGAAATTTCTGATAACGAAATTTATCAGTCAAGTATTTGATGCCAGTAAAATCCGTATCAGTGATTTGCCACCTGCAGTTCCACATCGTCCATATAAATTCACCAGTAAGATCATTTTTTGCAAGAATCTTCTTTTAATCGATCATCGTTTCAATAGTTAATACCGAAGCGGTTGGTGACGGTCATTTATCGATAAAACTCAAACAAAACAGCAATCGATTATCGCACGAACAAACTCGTCTTAATGCTCATAATTATGAAGTTTCATTCGTACCGGAAACATCGGACGAGTGTACACTTTCGATCCTATTCAATGGTGATGATGGATGTAAGTATATCAACTGACAGATTTTATCAGAGAGAATCTTTCGTCTAATTATTTTCGATAGTAAATATGATTCACAAACTGACGCCCACTCGCAATTGAATAGACGAAGAGGAGGTAGATTGAATAGGACATCAACGATTGGGACAGATATGAGTGTCATATTTACCTGTCAAAAAATAGATTTTTAGTATGCATCGGTCGCAATTTTCACTGATCGTCTCGATCAAACCGAATAGAATCTTTTCATATGATTAAACTTCTCTTTTCTATTTACAGTAGGTAATTTCAAAATACCAGTGATGCCTGACTCAAAAGAAATTCGCGTTGCACATATTCCAACTGGCACCGTCGGGAAACCAATTATTTTTACAAGTAAGTCTATACGTTCTCCTCGATATATATCTGATCATTTCTATTAGTTGATATTAACGAACCCAAACCACTCGATGTTCTTGTGACTGAATCACATGGTGGTCGGGTGATTCCACATACGATGATTCCATTGAATATCGAGAAAAAACGCTACCAAATTACGTTTATACCACTAGTCGCTCGTCAACATACTGTATCAGTGAGTTACAATGATCAGCCAATGTCGAGTTATCATGTTGATGTGTTCGATATTAATAAAATACGTGTGAGTTCAATTGAAGATGGTATCGTTGGTACACCATTAGTTTTCACTGTTGATACACACGGTGCTGGCGAAGGTCATCTCGAAGTAACGATTAGTGATGGTAAACGTACATTGCCAGCTGAATTGAAAAGTATTCATGCACGGAAATTTGATATTGGTTTTCTACCTGAAACAAGTGGAAAATATATGATAACGATTGCATTCAATGGAATACCAGTTGAAGGTAGTCCATTTGTTATTCATATTCACGCGGCATCATCAACAAATGATAAAGCAAGTACACAAGGACAGTTAGATGAAGAAGAAGATGATGATGAAGAAGAGCAAGAAGAGGAGGAAGAAGCCGAAGAAGAAGAGGAGGAGGAAGAGGAAGAAACTGGTGAACATGAATTTTTAATCGGTGGTCAATTAGAAGGAACCAAAGTTGGAGAACTTGCTTGGTTAATCTGTGATACACCGCTTAGTGAAATCTATGAAGACTTTGATCTATTCGTGTCAGGTATGTTAGCACTCCTACTGTTCATTGTTGTTCGAACTGAATTTTCATTTCTTCTGTTGTTAGATCCGGACCAAGTTACTATTAAACATACAAGAATACAAGATTCTGGTGGTCGATGGCGTGTAGAATTCGAACCAATTAAATCAGGTATTCATCAAATTCAAACCAATGTCAACGGCAATGATGAATCATCGCTTATATTGGCTTCGATGGATATCTTACCTGCAAATTATCATCGAACAATCGAAGGTGAAAGAATTATTCATCCCAATGTACTCAATTATATCACAATTAATTCGACTAATGATAATTTAAAAGTTCGAATACGACGTAAGATTTCTTTCACGAATTTTATTGATTTGTAAGTATTGTTTCGTGTTCAGGTTCGAATGGAGATGAAATACCTGTTGGTCTTGAACGAGATGCATTAGAATGGAAAGTATATTGTACACTTGCTGAAACTGGTAAGATCCAGAACTATTTTCTTTACCATTTGTCATTCTTTTTTCCCCTTATTAATAGATTATTACCAAATGAGTGTTAATGATAATGGTGACGAACAAATATTTGATATTCATTGTGTTAGCGAAGAAACAGATATATTCCGAAATGGTGGTATTGAAGACATAACTCGATTGATTGTCGATGAAAGTAAATTGAATGGTAGTGATGTGAATGTGATCGTTAAAGGTAAGAGGAAGAGGGGGAAAGTTAATGGAATACGATGTGCGATTGTCTTGTAGATCCATTCGCTCATACGATACCGGCAGCGTTCTATCGGAATTTTAATCGCGATTTGATTATTGAATACGTACCAACGAAATTGGGTAAGACTGAAATAGAGAAAAGTAGTTTGTACGAAGATTAGATTTGATTTAGATGTTCACGAGGTGTTTATTCGAACACATAATAATCTCCTGGATATATGCCCGATTCGTATAATGTCGTTTGGGGCGATTAGCCCATTCGAGCCAGTACTTCGTGTACAAGTCAAAGAAGTTCTTCAGCATACATTTGAAGGTGTTATTGATAATGTCGACAAAATTCAAATCGATATCATTGGTAAGAAAGATCGATGATCGAGAAACTTTTCTATGACTGTTTTCCTAGATTCATTCGAAAGACCATTACCGTTTCAACGTTCTACAAATGAAATTGGAGAATTAACTGTTGCTTTATCGCCAGTACGTGTTGGTATGTACTATTTACTAAAATAAATCTCAAATTCATAATGAAAAACATCTTATTTTCTAAGGAACTCATTGGATTCGTGTATCAAATAATGATAGTAAAAACTTTGCTCTTTTGCCAATCTTTGCCTACGATGATGACTATGTTCCACTTTCTCCAATCGTCACACCATCACCAGATGATAAAAAAGGCAAACAGAAATCCTCGAAAAATATGAATCACAATCATAACAATAATAATAATAATACAGGATTCGACACGTTCATTCCACTTCTGGCAGGAAAAGACCTCACGACCATCAGTGAGACAACGGAAACATCATCTTCACGAACATCATCCGCTACGTCTTCGGAGCTACCACCGCCACCTTCGCCTGTAAAAGAAATCGTTGCAGAGAATCCTCCGGCTCCTATCGCTACAGTTCCCAAAGTACCAACGACAGATGGTCGCGCTAGTCCGGAAGTACAAGTGCTCGATATCACTGATCTTAATGATCCAGGCATTGGAACTGTCTCGAAATTTAGTTTCAAAGATCCTGATAATAAGTTCAATATTGCAATAATTGGTAAGCGATCTGAGAAGAAAGGATATCATGAGTTAATCGTCATTGTGTTATTTTCTTTTGAATAGATACTGATGGAAATACGATTAGTTACAGGACTGAATATCTTCTCGATGGACGAAAACAAATCTTCTACGAAGTTACGACTGTCGGTATGTAAAAGTCTGAAACCGTGACGTATGAGAGACGATTCTCTATGTTGACACATTTATTCTAGGACCTGTGGAAATTCATATATCGAAAGAAAATGAGCCGATCAATGGTAGTCCATTGGTAGTTCATGCATTTAATCCTGCTTCTGTTTACTTAATGGATTTCCCGGATAAACTTCAGCTAAATACTACCAATCGATTTATTATCAATCCAACGAAAGCTGGCAAAGGCTCATTAAAGATCGCTGTAAAAGGTCTGTATTCTCTTTCTTCGACTAAACATTGCTGACGTTCATTCATCTTATTGTTATCACTGTTAGATCCAAATAATCGAAGTGTCCCTATTACCGTTCTCAAACGATCCAATGGTCATGTCACAGTAGAATTCAAACCTGTAACATTAGGTAAAATCATAGCATCGATCTGAAACGTCGCATCTGACCTACTTTTCATCTCTCTTTCTAGGCTTATATACAACTTCTGTATTATTTAATCGTGTGCCGATACCCGAAACACCACTTCGTGTTGCTGTGGAAGCGAAAGAGCCAGCCAAAATACCCGAAGAAAATGTTCCACCACGTATGTTTGCGACAAATGAAGATACATTCTCCATTGTTTTCTCGCCTTTTAGCACCACCGATTCTCAGCGGCAGCTTAGGTAGTATTGACGATATTGAACTACACGGTCGTGCACCACATCCGAAACCAGTCGAACGTGAACGACCACGTTCCGTATCATCTCAAACAACATTCGATCCAATCAATACGCGCTTATCTAAATCTAACGAAAACATCACCCAAACGGTATCTCAACAGACGCCCACCTTCATTGAGCAACATCGCACGCAACGTGTCACGAAATCAGAAGATCGACACTCGTCAGCATCTGTTACAACTCCATTGAACGATTTGCAAATTCAACGATTCAATATACTCAAAGATAAGTTCGAACGTCAGCAACCAATCGATACCGTATTCGGTAAGTTCAACTCATTGAAATACTATCATTTCTCTTCTCACTACAGGCGCTCGATATTGAAATTAGGGGAATATGATTGGTTTTATGTGCGATTTAAGAAAATATGCGCATATTTTATGCTTCATTTGCGAGGCTAAATCGCTTGTATCTAATGAAGCTATAAACTGATAGCAAGTGCGTTCGGTAACTAGTAATTGCCAATTGACGAAAACACGTCTGTCCTTGATCAAACGATTTGAAGATTAAGATATCATCTGTCCTCAGAAAGCTCTTCTGGCCTTTCCTTGTCTTTTAATGAATTTATCAGCTAGAAATATCGATCAGATTGCTCTATCTGGGTAGAAAATATCGTTCCTAATTTGTTTCTTTCGAATGCTTATAGATTCTCGTCGATATCCATTCAAAGTCTTTTTGCAACATCCTTATCCATTAACTAATATTGATGTTCACCTATTAAGTATGTCAAAGATAAGCATCTACAAGAAAAAGAATACTATTTTCTATGATAATTAGTTGATCTTCCACATATTGCATATGTACATGTCACTATCAATGGAACAGAGATTCCACTTCAAGCCGCCCGACGAAATGATGACACATTTCTATTGAAATTTCGACCCATCACCGCGGGAGATTATTCAATCATATTAAAAGATTTTCTTGAACAACCAATTCCTGGTAAAGATCTTCTCTTTCGAAATCTTTCATATTCAATGCCATCTGGTATTTGTCTTTCAGGTTCACCATTCATTTTTCCTGTTTATAATCCTAGTAGTGTTCATTTCGAAGCATCGAATCGTTTACAACCAATCAATGACTGTCATCTGATTTGTATGCAAATTTCAGGTGTNGAGCTTGACGAATTGAACTTATTTTGTTTGATTGTGAAATGTTTTACCTGTATTTCACCGAAGACAAAATGATTGAGAGGAAGCAATGAATACATCGATTGATCTCTGTTTGACCAACGTATCAAAAATGAAAATGAAGAAAGAAGCAACGAAAGCGCACATAGATAATTTTTTTGCCCTTTTCTCTCTTCTGATCGTGTGTATGTGTATGTGTATATGTATACGTTTCAAATGTGTGTTGCTCGCTCATGCATGCACTTTTGTTCGATCGATCGAACGGAACAAACCCTTCTTTTTTACTCTTGTCTTGCTCGTCGAAGCTGCAAGTAATCTGACGAGGAAAGAAGACACCTGTGTGTGTGTGTATGAATGACTATATGTATGCATACACGTCGATATTCTTTCGTCATTTTTTCTATGGTATAGTTTCTAATTAAAAACGACAGCTTGCTTCTCATTGCCATCATTCATTTTGTCGAAATAATTGTACCGTCATTATCGATAAACAAACAACAACTAGTTACAGTTTCTACAAACAAAGACAGGAATGAATAATGGTCGACAAGAACACTTGAGCAAATCTCGAACAACTTATCGAAATCTTCATCAACCACTGAGTCCAACCATGCTGTCAACAAAAGCAAAGGTAGAAACAAAATTACAAGCAAGTGAAGATAGTGATGATGATAGCACATTACCGACGTTTGTCAACCGTTTCTTTTTCCCTAAGAACACAACTACGACAACAAAATCGACACCAACATCACCTTCAAATGATACGGGAATGTTTCGTGCAATACGCGGTCAAGTTATCATACATCATGATGATGATCGTTCGTCAAAAGTTCAACGCGAAGAAGATGTAGACGAAGATGAAGAAGAGGAAGAACTTGAAAATCTTCCCGTTAATCGTTCGAATGGTGGCAACTATGAACTACACTATGACGTGGACAATCCGTTGGAAATCTCCTGTTCAATGTCGCTTTCATCAGCAGAAACCATTTCTGATCATTCGCCATCGCCAACTCGACATACTTCATCGATAAATGTCGATGAGAATAATTCGAGTTCAAAGCCTGATCATACACCTATTGAACTCTCAGATGAAGATGAGGATGATGACGATGATGATGATGATGATGGTGGCGATACACCATCACCAATCTTGAGCGATAATAATCACCTTGAGAAAAACGTGATTGACCAGGATGCTATCAAGGTACAAGATGAAAAACTACGGACGTTTCGTGGTTGGCACTTATCGATGCTTAAGCAAATCGATGAAAAACTACGAGAAATCGAACTCGAAACAGTTAATCTACCTACGACCGTCACAACTAATACGACAACAGCAACGACTCCGACACCAATCATCGAAACGAATAAAACAATCATTAAACCGATGACAAACAAGAAAAAAGTACTGCGTCCCACCATTCGTCGACGTTTCGAAACCACGAATGTGAAACGCCATCATTCGCCTATTCCTCAGATTAAAATCAGTACCTATCGCTCACGCACACCATCAGGAGAGAAAGAATCTCGTACATTAGTAATTAATTTACCACCTTCATCCTCCTCATCATCATCGTCATCAGATAACGAACAAGATTTTCCACCGCCACCAGCGCCTTCGGAGCCCATACATATTCGTATTGTGCAAAGTCCGAGTCATCCTCTATGCCAACGTTCACAAAGCACTGAACGTTTAATTTTACGTGATCAAGGTGCACAAACCGAACCATTCAATAGTTCGAATGGCTTCATTGATCATCGACCTATACGTCCAGCAAGTGTTGAATGTGATCGAATACAACCGACACGTTCATTGACCCGTGCACAAAGTAATCAATTTCTTCAGCAAAATCAACAACAGAGACCCATACCTCAACGGCCACAACTATTTCAACCTCATCTCTATCAGAATCTTCCTCAGCCGCAGCCGCAGCAGCAGCAACAACAACAACAACGACAGCTGCAGTTTCCTCGCCAGCAACACACTCCACAAGCAAGTGAACAAATCAAGTTCTACAGTTTACGTAGTCGAAATGTTCGATCGCGACCTAGTATTGTCACTCAGACACCAACACCAATATCGCAACTACCACCCGTACGTCCTGTCATCCCGCATCGATCAGTATCGGTTGAGAAGAAAATACCGCCTCAACCTAGACCACAACCAAAATCAACCAATGCTCACGCACCAAAAGTATCTGCTGATCCATCTGTGTACTCGGATGATTATGGACATGTTACGCAAATGGACACGAGAAATTTAGGGACATTAGTTGACAAAGTTTTCGATGATATCTATCAAGACAAACCGTCAGATTTCTATCGAGATTATAGGCAACTTTTAAACGACATTCAAGTTCGATTTAGTATGGTCTCTTCGGCTGAGCAACCGAATACTGCACATCAACATAATCATCATCGTCCTCCTCCTCCACCACCGACGGGCCCGGCACCTCAGTCGCAACCGCCGCCACCGCCAACAATCTACCGATCGGCACCAGCATCAGTGCCGCCGCCACCACCATCAACATCGTCAACAAAGCCAACTTTTCCTGAGTATAAACGTGTGCCTAAGACGTCATCTTCTCAAGCGCATCTCTGTGACACACTTATCTACATTCCGAACCCTCGCTGATTCTTTTTGTTTTGTTTTCTTTTTTATTTTAATATATCATATGTATAGGCCTTGTTGTGATTTGTTATGTTTTCTCATCGGATGTCAATCAAACATGTCAGTCAGAGTCAAGAAAGGTTTTTCTCGTTTTATCAGTAATGAGAGAGTGAGAATATTTTTTAAACGAAGTTTGATTACAACACAGTATCTATATACACATACATACATACATACATAGATTGATTACATCATTGATATTTTATGAATGACTCTTTGCTTGACAGGTACGCCAATTGATGTGACCGTTTATGACATTCAGCGTATATCGATTATCGCCGAACATAGTCAACCTGTCGTCGTACGAACGACCGTTGCTTATAAAGGTAAATCTATATACACACAGTTCAATGAAACGCTTATCTAACGCGAGGAATCTCTCTCTATCTTTCTCTAGTAAATACCAGTCAAGCTGGCCAAGGTCAATTGAAAGTTGAACTTGTTCAACCTCAGACATCAAAAATTCCTTGTCGATGTCACATACAAGAAATCAACGCTCATGAATATCTCGTTCAATACATTCCAGTGGAACCTGGCCGTTATCAATTACGTGTCCTATTCAATAACCAACTTGTTCAGGGCAAAACTCTTGATATTGACGTTCATTCGTCATTACCACAAATATCAAAAACTGCTGGCACATCTTCGAACGTTCGAATCCAACAGATTCTTCCAACGAGTACGCCTGACGTTGGCGATGACATTTGTTTACAAGGTAAAAATTATATTTTTTATTAAAAATAAATCATTTCAATACGTTGTTTTATTTTTGTGTTACAGTCAATACAGAAAATCCTTCACTCTCATCAATTCAAGGTCATGTTTCGTGCAATGGAATGTCTGTTCCACATAAACTCGAACGCACTAAAGATACATCCGTTTGGCACTTGAAATTTCGTCCTTTTGTACCTGGCACTTACAAAGTACAACTGACTCATAATGGATTAGCTCTGACCAGTAAGTTAAATATCTTCGCAGGAGTTGTTTCTCGGACAGAAAACGAATCTTAGCTTCAAGGTAATTGAATTCATTTAAAGTAAATGAGGTTGAATTGATTGCTTCTCGTCCTATTTCCGCTTTTAATCTATGTTAACGTGGTACCTTGAGCTTGTTCATCCAGAACGTTGATATAATTAGATTCGGATATCTTTATCTATCGAAATTATTATCATAGGTTCACCGTATCTAATTCAAGTCAAAGATACAAATGGAAAAGTAGTTCTTTCTGGTCTCGAACAAACTCTATTAACGAATTCTCCATGTGTAATAGAAGGTAAATAGCATTTAATTTGCTTGTTGTTTTCTCCATAAGGAAACATTTCATTGAATGTCTTGCAGTTCATGCTGAATCAACATCGAAAACACAAATTCAAGCGGTTGTCCTTCTCGGTACTCGACAAATTCCTTCGACAACAACAATTGTTAATGAGAGTCTTGCTCGAATCAATTTCATTCCACAGGAGCCAGGCGTTTACTCAGTTCACGTTTCATGTGCCAATCAGCCCATTGAAGGTTTCGATTCGAGTGAATTTTCAGCAAAACGATAACATTCACTTTTCTCTAGGTTCACCGTTTTCTATTCGTGTGGAACGACCACGTGTTGTTCAAATCTCCGGCGAATGCTTCCCTCGTTTACGTCTTAACGATTTGGGATTATTCCGCATTCATTGCCATGGACAACGTGGTTCAATTCAAGCAAAAATATTTAGTAAATCTTTATTTCCTTCTCACTTATTGTTCATCGAGTTTCTTCCCCGTAGACCTTTCCGCAGGCGATCGATACGACATTGGTCAGACAATTTCATTTCAATTGCATGATACTTATGAACATATAAGTCAATTTCCAGCACAGATACTTTTGAATTCATTCACAGTGTTATTGGCGACGAGATTGAAATTAACACAAGAAAGAATAAAAAATGTGCTTCTTGGAAAAGACAATGGTTTGTATTCATGACGTTCATATTTGAGAAGATTCAAGTTTGCCTTGTTTCCCAACAGGACGTGCAACAGTATCATTTCAGCTATTTGAAATGCCATCACAGACACCAACCAACGAACAAGTTATTCATCATTTAAGACATTTAATCGATAAGCAGACTTTGAACTTACTGGATCCCAATCGTTGTGTGCTGAATACAATTGTGGGATCAGTTGTTGTCGGTAGGGAATATATAGATATAAAAGCCATGTACATTCTTTTTCCAATGCTGCTGTTGGTGAGTGTATCCTAACCATTTTTAATCATTAACTGCTCGAGACCAACACACTCGATGATTTTCTGGTCAAAATTGATCATTCTCGATCGTATTTTTTTTCATAGGACCAAAAGGAGAGCCAGTTAATGTGAAATTATTTCCACAAGCTAGTGGAGACTATATCGGCGAATTCACACCGGCAAAAATTGGTAAAGATTAACATCACTAAATGTGTTTTCAACGTGTTATTTTTGCTCTTCCAAAAGGTCAACACCGAATCGACATCACATTCGCAAATGTGCCTGTACAGGGTAGTCCCTTCTTCACAGAAGTGTACGATCCATCACAAGTTCGCATTGGCCCATTGCCACGAGACATTATTGCTGGAACAGAAAACACCTTCGAGATCAATCTGGATAATGCGGGCAATGTTCCACTAGAAATCAAAATATCCTCACCAACAGGTATCAATGGTATGTAGTCAGAAACACACCTCGAACTGTCCTAAGTTCATCGATGAATTTTAGTTCCTCTCAAAGTTGATGATGCTTCATCACGATCCACAGTTAAAAAAGTACGCTTTACACCCAATGAAACCGGTGTACATTACTTAAATGCCAAATTTGGTGCAGAGATTGTTCCTGGTATGCTTTCCTACATCTGTTTTAATGTATGTTGTGCACACATGCATCGTTGACAGGTTCGCCGATTAAGATGATGGTCAATGAGTCTCGCATGGTAACAGCTTATGGCGACGGCATCCATCATGCTTTACACGAAAAACCAGCTTCATTCATGATTGATACTCAAGAAATGCATGGTGATCTGAAAGTCCGTATTGAAGGTAACTATATCGAACGATAACAAAAATCTCTATTACTGTCAAACTATCTTCTCATCTAGGTCCAAATTCAGTTATTAAAAATACACTTGAACGAACAAATGACAATCTTTTCAAAGTAACCNTGGAAGTCCGTTTAAAGTGAACATATTCGATATCAATCAGATTCATGTTTCAAATATCGATGGTGGTGTTGTGGGACACTTGGTGAAATTTTTCATTGATGCAAGTAAAGCGGGTGTTGGTCAACTAGAGATTGTTGTTCAGGATGGTTTATTACCATGTAATGCTATGCCATATGAATCGTGTCGTTTCGAAGCAATATTTCTACCAAATAAATCTGGGAAACATACAATCGATATTAAATTTAATGGATTATCTGTGCCAGGTAATCCGATCAACCAAAACGACGAAGAGTATCATATGTACTTTTGGTCTCAATCTATTTTTAGGTAGTCCATTCACGTGTTATATCAATGATCTCTCTCGTGTTACTGTATCCGATAGTTTGACAAGTGCTCAGGTTGGAGTCCCACTCTCTTTTGACATTCATCATTGGGATTTGTATGATGATCAAAATCAATATGTTCCATTGGATATCTTAATAACTGGTGAATAGATTCTTGTTTTGAAAGTATTTTATTTAGTTTTCTCTTGATCTTTCTTTTTTTGTTAAGCTCCATCGGGTCGGTCTGTTCCCTTTACACGGTCACAATTGAACGAAAGTATTACACACATTGATTATATTCTAAATGAGATCGGTAAGTGAGTAAATACCACATGAGGAGAAAGGAAAAGAGGAGAGATCATCTCATCGGATCAAAAGCAGTTGATAGATGTTTAAATAATGTTGATAGTTGATAAATCCGAAATTGGTGACGGTGATGATGATGATGATGATGATGACAATGATAATAGTCAACAATTTACACGACGTTTGAGTTTTACAGAGAAAACGAAGCAGCGTTTAGAAATTTATCGACGTCGTTCATTACAACAATTTCATGATGATGGTAGGTCATCGATATCGTTTCGTTTTTTTGCATAATATTGAAGGTTTGAGAAGTCCTATAAATTCGATGACAAAGCAATGATTTGTTCAGATTCAAATTAGATACAGGACGCTCTTAATTAAAAATGAAAGTCAATTTTCATTGTATTAATTAATGTAACAATTGTTTCACTAGTTTGTATACGAAATCAAGGACATCCCAACGTCCCTCTCTCTCTCTCTCCCTCTTCCACTCAACTTTCATATGTACATACGTATATCGAATGGCATATCTCTTTCGTCCTTTTTTCCGTCGTCGCTGTTGTTTGATATGCATTCAGACAGACCTTCATACATAGATCGAGAAGAAAAGGATGACGAAAAGAAAACACTGTTGTGGTTTCCACCTCTTCTTCACTCTCTCTCTCTCCCTCGCTCTGTTTCATATACACTAACTTCTCTCTTGTCGATGTCGTTTAATTGTAGACATTATTGCCATCGAAGAATAGCACTATTCGACTGTTTTTCCTTGAATACAATTTTACATTGCATATATATATATTCTTATATTAATTAAATTAGTTCTCATTCGAACATATTGTAATACAATATGTTAGGAATTCACAGACAATGAGCTGGTTGCTTTCATTTATATATTTTTTCTCTGTCTCTAGGTACACATCGCGTTGACATCCGTTCGAATAAAAGTTGCAGTGGAAGAATGGATATTAATGGTTCACCATTTGCTCTCAAAGCATATGATACCGATCGATTAATAGTCTCAGATATTCCACGACTTGTAACGTATAATCAACCAGTTGAATTTACAATCGATGCGTCGAAAGCAGGAGAAGGTCAACTTGAAGTTGCAATTAATGATGGACTTGTACCAAATCAAGTAAAAGCATTGGGCAATTCGAAATTTCTTTTTACATTCATACCTAAAACTACCGATCCACATTTTGTCTCGATTAAATTCAATGGACAGTTATTACCTGGTAATCAATACATTTTCTTCATTGTTCTAACTTTGCTTTGTTTTTCTTTCTTTTATTCCTTAAGATTTTCCCAAAGAATGTCAAATATTTTCAACAGAAGACATCACTACTCGTGGTCCTGGTCTAAGTCAAGCATTACTCGGTGCACAAACATGGTTTACTGTCGAAACACCCCATGGAGAATCCAATGATGTGAAAGTTACTGTTCTCACACCGAATAATGAAGAATTAAATCCAACCACACGTGTCACCGCCGATGGACTCCGAGTCGATTGGATGCCATCAGAAGTTGGCACCTACACTGTTCACGTCACATTTGCTGGTAATGCTGTGCCGGGCAGTCCGTTTCGTGTGAAATGTTATGATCCAAAAAATGTTCTTATTACTCCGCCAACAAGTGATAGCGCCGTTCGAAAACCAACGAGATTTCTAGGTAAAAGCCGTTTGCGTGGACACATCGATATGCAATTGATCTTTTCGAAATAGTTGATGCATCTCACGCTGGTGAAGGCAACCTTGAAATTAGTGTAAATCATTCCGGTCGTAACATTCCTAATCAAGTGAATCCTATTGGCAATAGCCGTTTCGAAGTTCATTTTACTCCACAAGAAGCAGTGGTACATTATTGCAATGTGTTATTCAATAGCGAACCTGTTCCAGGTAAATAACAGCGAACAGAAAGAAACGATAGACGAGATTTTCTATGCTCGATCGTCACTTGTAGACGGCAACCATAAGATTTTGTTCTTTTTCTAACGTGAGATAACAGCAGGTCAAATAGATCTCTTATTTTGATCGCAATACGCGCTTAATCTTTCATAAGACACGTTATGAATGTTCAACAGCTATTATCTATTATGTTTTGAGTCGCGCAGTCTTCGTTCGATGATATATCGCTAGCGATCGTCTTTGTTTTGCTGTCCACAAGGTAGAAGATGAGAGTATAAACAAAAACTGACGATGCATAGACATGCCATTAGATAGGCGAACGAAAAGAATGATGAAATGTGGGTGAAGCAAAACGAAAAAAAGAGAGACGAAAGTGGACATAAATGTATATATGCAGCTCTCTCAAGCGCATCAACTTTACTAAGCGAGAAAGTGCATGAATGAGTAAGCGAAACAATTCAATTTTCAATTCATTTCAAATACTATATAGGAAGAAAGCATATGCGTGTGTAATGCTTCATGTTGATCATCCCGTTCGTAATGGTGATGGGACATCATCCTTGGCTCATTCATTTTCAGGTAGATCCCTTAGGCATTGTGAGAAGATTGAACACGTTCGAAAGCTTTCTTCTCTCTTATTCGCGACAAGAAGAAACAGGAAAGTCAAAGGATAAGAAGCCGAATGCTAGATGTGCACACCCTCATAATTATTAGTAACAATGTGTTGCTGTATTTCGAGTGGCTGTCCATGTAGTTCATGGTTGGATAGAGAATTTTATATCTATGATGATGGGTTCACTGATTACAAACGTGATAGACATCATTCAATTTGTTTCTTCGGTGTTAAATGATTTGTTTGTTTTCTCTTATTAAGGAAGTCCGTTTGCGGTTAATGTAATGGATACGCAACGTGTGGTTGTGTTTGGGAAGGGTTTAGGATCTGTACCGGTCAATATTCCGACTTCGTTCACAATCTTAACACAAAATGCTGGCGCTGGAGAATTGAAATGTTCAATAAAAGGTGGAGTATCAAGCTTTTTTTCTTCTTTAATTTTTGAAATTCATACCTTGGTGATGGTCTCGAGTAGTAGTTCTTTTGTTTTGGTGTTTTGTTTTATTTTTACCTAATCTAGCTTAACAGAGATAACAAAACTAACTTAATGTAAGTTGAAACGTAGGTTTGAAATGAACGAAACATACAACCATTCGTTATTCTATTCACTAGATCCTGACGATCATGGAGTTTCTTGTGTGATAGCCAAGACAGATACCAGTCGGTATGAAGTTTCGTATACGCCAGATACCATTGGTATGTACGATCAAAACTACTATTGTCTACTTCATTCATATATGTCGCTTTTAGGTGATTATAAAATTGAAGTATTACATAATAATGTTCCCGTCGATGATAAGCCATACATTGCTCGGGTTTTTGATATCAATAAAGTTATGATTCATGATTTTCCGTCGTCAGCTATTGTCGATACAGCGACTTATTTTATAAGTAAAGCTGTGTGTCACTCCATTGTGGTTTTTTCACTTTCTATTTGATTTTAGTTGATGCAACTGATTCCGGTTCGGGCAACCTGGAGATCGCTGTGTCAATCAATGATAAAAACATTCCGAATTATGTTCAAAACGAAGGCGGTGCTCGTTTTCGAGTCAAATTTACTCCCGATCAAAGTGGAATGTACCATATACAGATAAAATTCAATGGGATTGATATTCAAGGTAAATCACAAGTTTCGATTAATTCAAAACTAGAAGAGAAAAAGAAGGAAGGATTTTCTAACCTTTACTGCATATTGGCAGAGGAATGCATTGTAGAGAATTTTATATGAGAAATGTCCTTTCACATTTGATCGTCTTCTCAAAACACAGGGAAAGATCCAAGGTGACGCTCGTAATTGGTTATACATTTCGACGAGAACTAATGATAAAGAAAATTTACGTGAAAACGAATGAATCTTTTATTCAATTTTCACGATAACCTTCGTTACTGTTTATACCTATTAAACTTTTGAGGAAAATAAGACGCCAAGGACGAAACATCTTTTTCGTTTAAAACAATTTCGTTTTTTTTACATTTGTGTATATCTAAAGAAAATTGAAACGTAAGGTCCTTTCTCTATGCAAATGATGAACTACATGTCACACGGAGTTGTGGACGGGAGATACATACATATCGATAGGACATTTTCACGGTCCACCAAATGGGCTATCACTCGTTTTCTTTTGTCCTTCTCTCGAACATTTATTAAATTTTCATTGTTTGGAAAGGCACGATAAAAGGCACAACTTTCTCCTCTGTACAATAGTCGAAGAGAAACTACGTAAGCTCTGCGCTCGATGTCGCCGATAAATACTCGTAGGAGAGTAACGAATAAGAATGTACCCCTCAAGACAGGTAGGCAGATAAAATAATCAGATGTGAATTAACAACAGTTACAAGAATCTTTTCTTTTCTTGTTTCTTTTCTAGGATCGCCATTTACATGTAATGTATTTTCAAGTGATTTTATATTTGAAAACTATGAATATGCACCGATTAACAAACGTACAGCATTTGTTCTGAAGCCAAAAGCGAATTCTGTCTTGAATCCTAATCTTTACATTCATGTGATTTCTCCATCTGGCCACGAATGCGAAGGCAAAATTGAAGAAAAATCTCCTAATCTCTACACAGTTCGGTTTCTTCCGAATGAAATCGGCGATCATAAAATCATCTTCTACAGCGATAAAGACAAGACATTTCTGATAACGAAATTTATCAGTCAAGTATTTGATGCCAGTAAAATACGTATTAGTGATTTGCCACCTGCAGTTCCACATCGTCCATATAAATTCACCAGTAAGATCATCTTTTGCGAGAATCTTCTTTTGATCGATCATCGTTTCAATAGTTAATACCGAAGCGGTTGGTGATGGTCATTTATCGATAAAACTCAAGCAAAACAGTAATCGATTATCGCATGAACAAACTCGTCTTAATGCTCATAATTATGAAGTTTCATTCATACCGGAAACATCGGACGAGTGTACACTTTCGATTCTATTCAATGGTGATGATGGATGTAAGTATATCAACTGACAGATTTTATCAGAGAGAATCTTTCGTCTAATTATTTTCGATAGTAAATATGATTCACAAACTGACGCCCACTCGCAATTGAGTAGACGAAGAGGAGGTATATTGAATAGGACATGAACGATTGGGACAGATATGAGTGTCATATTTACCTGTCAAAAATAGATTTTTTAGTATGCATCGGTCGCAATTTTCACCGATCGTCTCGATCAAACCGAATAGAATCTTTTCATATGATTATACTTCTCTTTCCTATTTACAGTAGGTAATCTCAAAATACCAGTGATGCCTGACTCGAAGGAAATTCGCGTTGCACATATTCCAACTGGCACCGTCGGTAAACCAATTATCTTTACAAGTAAGTCTACGCATTCTCCTCGATATATGTATATATAACTGATTATTTTTATTAGTTGATATTAACGAACCCAAACCACTCGATGTTCTTGTGACTGAATCACATGGTGGTCGGGTGATTCCGCATACGATGATTCCATTGAATATCGAGAAAAAACGATACCAAATTACATTTATACCATTAGTCGCTCGTCAACATACTGTATCAGTGGGTTATAATAATCAGCCAATGTCAAGTTATCATGTTGATGTGTTCGATATCAATAAAATACGTGTGAGTTCAATTGAAGATGGTATCGTTGGTACACCATTAGTTTTCACTGTTGATACACACGGTGCTGGCGAAGGTCATCTCGAAGTAACGATTAGTGATGGTAAACGTACATTGCCAGCTGAATTGAAAAGTATTCATGCACGGAAATTTGATATTGGTTTTCTACCTGAAACAAGTGGAAAGTATATGATAACGATTGCATTCAATGGAATACCAGTTGAAGGTAGTCCATTTGTTATTCATATTCAGGCGGCATCATTAGCAAATGATAAAGCAAGTACACAAGGACAGTTAGGTGAAGAAGATGATGAAGAAGAGGAGGAGGAAGAAGCTGAAGAAGAAGAAGAAGAAGAAGAGGAGGAAGAGGAAGAAACTGGTGAACATGAATTTTTAATCGGTGGCCAATTAGAAGGAACCAAAGTTGGAGAACTTGCTTGGTTAATCTGTGACACGCCACTTAGTGAAATCTATGAAGACTTTGATCTATTCGTGTCAGGTACGTTAGCACTCCTACTGTTCATTGTTGTTCGAATTGAATTTTGATTCTTTCTGTTGTTAGATCCCGACCAAGTTACTATTAAACATACGAGAATACAAGATTCTGGTGGTCGATGGCGTGTGGAGTTCGAACCAATTAAATCAGGTATTCATCAAATTCAAACAAATGTCAACGGCAATGATGAATCATCGCTTATTTTGGCTTCGATGGATATCTTACCTGCAAACTATCATCGAACAATCGAAGGTGAAAGAATTATTCATCCCAATGTACTCAATTATATCACAATTAATTCGACTAATGATAATTTAAAAGTTCGCATACGACGTAAGATTTCCTCCACGAATTTTATTATTTTGTAAGTATTGTTTCATGTTCAGGTTCGAATGGAGATGAAGTACCTGTCGGTCTTGAACGAGATGCATTAGAATGGAAAGTGTATTGTACACTTGCTGAAACTGGTAAGATCCAGAACAATTTTCTGTACCATTTGTCATTCCTATTTCCTTTGTTAATAGATTATTACCAAATGAGTGTTAATGATAATGGCGACGAACAAATATTTGATATCCATTGTGTTAGCGAGGAAACAGATATATTCCGAAATGGCGGTATTGAAGATATAACTCGATTGATTGTTGATGAAAGTAAATTAAATGGTAGTGATGTGAATGTGATCGTTAAAGGTAGAAGGAAGAGGGGAAAAGTTACTGGAATACGATGTGTGATTATTTTATAGATCCATTTGCTCATACGATACCGGCAGCGTTCTATCGAAATTTTAATCGCGATTTGATTATTGAATACGTACCAACGAAGTTGGGTAAGACTGAAATAGATAAAAGTACTTTGTACGAAGGTTTGATTTGATTTAGATGTTCATGAGGTGTTTATACGAACACATAATAATCTTCTGGATATATGCCCGATTCGTATAATGTCGTTTGGAGCGATTAGCCCATTCGAACCAGTACTTCGTGTACAAGTCAAAGAAGTTCTCCAGCATACATTTGAAGGTGTTATTGATAACGTCGACAAAATTCAAATCGATATCATTGGTAAGAAAGATCGATGATCGAAAAGGTTTTCTATGGCTGTTTACCTAGATTCATTTGAAAGACCGTTACCGTTTCAACGTTCTACAAATGAAATTGGAGAATTAACTGTTGCTTTATCGCCAGTGCGTGTCGGTATGTACTATTTACTAAAATAAATCTAAAATTCATAATGAAAAACATTTTATCTTCTAAGGAACTCATTGGATTCGTGTATCAAATAATGATAGTAAAAACTTTGCTCTATTACCAATCTTTGCCTACGATGATGACTATGTTCCACTTTCTCCAATCGTCACACCATCACCAGATGATAAAAAAGGCAAACAGAAATCCTCGAAAAATATGAATCACAATCATAACAATAATAATAATAATACAGGATTCGACACGTTCATTCCACTTCTGGCAGGAAAAGACCTCACAACCATCAGTGAAACAACGGAAACATCGTCTTCACGAACATCATCCGCTACGTCTTCGGAGCTACCACCGCCACCTTCGCCTGTAAAAGAAATCGTTGCAGAGAATCCTCCGGCTTCTACTGCTACATTTCCCAAAGTACCAACGACAGATGGTCGCGTTAGTCCGGAAGTACAAGTGCTCGATATTACTGATCTTAATGATCCAGGCGTTGGAACTGTTTCGAAATTTAGTTTCAAAGATCCTGATAATAAATTCAATATTGCAATATTTGGTAAGTGATTTCAAAAGAAAGAATACCATGAGTTAATCATCATTGTGTTGTTTTCTTTTGAATAGATACTGATGGAAACACGATTAGTTACAGAACTGAGCATCTTCTCGATGGACGAAAACAAATCTTCTACGAAGTTACGACTGTCGGTATGTAAAAGTCGAAAGCCGTAACGTAGAAGAGCAGATTCTTTATGTTGACACATTCATTCTAGGACCTGTGGAAATTCATATATCGAAAGAAAATGAGCCGATCAATGGTAGTCCGTTGATAGTTCATGCATTCAATCCTGCTTCTGTTTACTTAATGGATTTCCCGGATAAACTTCAGCTAAATACTACCAATCGATTTATTATCAATCCAACGAAAGCTGGCAAAGGCTCATTAAAGATCGCTGTAAAAGGTCTATATTCTCTTTCTTCGACTAAACACTGCTGACATTGATTTTATCTTATTTTTATCATTGTTAGATCCAAATAATCGAAGTGTCCCTATAACCGTTCTCAAACGATCCAATGGTCATGTCACAGTAGAATTCAAACCTGTAACATTAGGTAAAGCCAAAGCATCAGTCTGAAGCGTCTCATCTGACCTACTTCCCATTCTCTCTTTCTAGGTTTGTATACAACTTCTGTATTATTTAATCGTGTACCAATACCCGAAACACCGCTTCGTGTTGCTGTGGAGGCGAAAGAGCTAGCCAAAACTCCCGAAGAAAATGTTCCACCACGTATGTTTGCAACAAATGAAGATACATTCTCCATTGTTTTCTGGCCTTTTAGCACCACCGACTTTCACTGGCAGTTCAGGTAGCATTGACGATATTGAATTACGCGGTCGTGTATCACATCCGAAATCAATCGAACGTGAACGACCACGTTCCGTATCATCTCAAACAACATTCGATCCAATCAATACGCGCTTATCTAAATCTAACGAAAATATCACCCAAACGGTATCTCAACAGACGCCGCCCTTCATTGAGCAACATCGCACGCAACGTGTCACGAAATCAGAAGATCGACACTCGTCAGCATCTGTCACAACTCCATTGAACGATTTGCAAATTCAACGGTTCAACATACTCAAAGATAAATTCGAACGTCAGCAACCAATCGATACCGTATTCGGTAAGTTCAACTCATTGAAATACCATCATTTCTCTTCTCACCACAAGCGCTCGATATTGAAATTAGGGGAATATGATTGGTTTTATGTGCGATTTAAGAAAATATGCGCATATTTTATGCTTCATTTGCGAGGCTAAATCGCTTGTATCTAATGAAGCTATAAACTGATAGCAGGTGCGTTCGGTAACTAGTAATTGCCAATTGACGAAAACACGTATGTCCTTGATCAAACGATTTGAAGATTAAGATATCATCTGTCCTCAGAAACCTCTTCTGGCCTTTCCTTGTCTTTTAATGAATTTATCAGCTGGAAATATCGATCAGATTGCTCTATCTCTGTAGAAAATATCTTTCCTAATTTGTTTCTTTCGAATGCTTATAGATTCTCGCCGATATCCATTCAAAGTCTTTTTGCAACATCCTTATCCGTTGACTAATATTGATGTTCACCTGTTAAGTATGTCAAAGATAAGCATCTACAAGAAACAGAATACTATTTTCTATGATAATTAGTTGATCTTCCACATATTGCATATGTACACGTCACTATCAATGGAACAGAGATTCCTCTTCAAGCCGCCCGACGAAATGATGACACATTTCTATTGAAATTTCGACCCATCACCGCGGGAGATTATTCAATCATATTAAAAGATTTTCTTGAACAACCAATTCCTGGTAAAGATCTATTCTTTCGGAACCTTTCATATGCAATGCCATTTGATATTTGTCTTTCAGGTTCACCATTCATTTTTCCTGTTTATAATCCTAGTAGTGTTCATTTCGAAGCATCGAATCGTTTACAACCAATCAATGACTGTCATCTGATTTGTATGCAAATTTCAGGTGTTAGCTTGATTGATGTTCGTTGTTTTCCTTTCCCTTCTAGGTAATATTGATAAAGCCGGTCCGGGCAAATTCTTCGTTATGGTCTATTCTCAAATAGAGGAAAATCAATTTCATCCAATCATCATTCCAATTCATATTCATCCGCTTCCATCAAATCATATCCGTATATCGATATCACCACCGAAGATCGGCACGTATCGAATCTACACAGCCTATCGAAACATTCCAATAAACGGTAAGCGATGTGTGTTTTTTTTCTAATTACGTTCGCTTCTTGAGTTTGCTCATCAAACGACGATATTTTTGATTATAAACAAAAGAGAAATAAGTTGAACATTCGTGCGCAGTGTAAAATATAATCAATTAGTTAAGCTAAGCTTGCTATATAGATAAATTATATGTCTATAGAATATTTGATTATAGATGCGAAGAAAAAGAGAAATGTCTTCGGAGCTTGACGAATTGAACTTATTTTGTTTGATTGTGAAATGTTTTACCTGTATTTCACCGAAGACAAAATGATCGAGAGGAAGCAATGAATACATCGATTGATCTCTGTTTGACCAACGTATCAAAAATGAAAATGAAGAAAGAAGCAACGAAAGCGCACATAGATAATTTTTTTGCCCTTTTCTCTCTTCTGATCGTGTGTATGTGTATGTGTATGTGTATATGTATATGTATATGTATACGTTTCAAATGTGTGTTGCTCGCTCATGCATGCATTTTCGTTCGATCGATCGAACGGAACAAACCCTTCTTTTTTACTCTTGTCTTGCTCGTCGAAGCTGCAAGTAATCTGACGAGGAAAGAAGACACCTGTGTATGAATGACTATATGTATGCATACACGTCGATATTCTTTCGTCATTTTTTCTATGGTATAGTTTCTAATTAAAAGCGACAGCTTGTTTCTCATTGCCATCATTCATTTTGTCGAAATAATTGTACCGTCATTATCGATAAACAAACAACAACTAGTTACAGTTTCTACAAACAAAGACAGGAATGAATAATGGTCGAAAAGAACATCTGAGCAAATCTCGAACAACTTATCGAAATCTTCATCAACCACCAAGTCCAACCATGCTGTCAACAAAAGCAAAGGTAGAAACAAAATTACAAGCAAGTGAAGATAGTGATGATGATAGCACATTACCGACGTTTGTCAACCGTTTCTTTTTCCCTAAGAACACAACTACGACAACAAAATCAACACCAACATCACCTTCAAATGATACGGGAATGTTTCGTGCAATACGCGGTCAAGTTATCATACATCACGATGATGATCGGTCGTCAAAAGTTCAACGCGAAGAAGATGTAGACGAAGACGAAGAAGAGGAAGAACTTGAAAATATTCCCGTTAGTCGTTCGAATGGTGGCAACTATGAATTACACTATGATGTTGACAATCCGTTGGAAATCTCCTGCTCGATGTCGCTTTCGTCAGCAGAAACCATCTCTGATCATTCGCCATCGCCAACTCGACATACTTCATCGATAAATGCCGATGAGAATAATTCGAGTTCAAAGCCTGATCATACACCTATTGAACTCTCAGATGAGGATGAGGATGATGATGATGATGATGATGACGACGATGATGGTGGTGATACACCATCACCAATCTTGAGCGATAATAATCACCTTGAGAAAAACGTGATTGACCAGGATGCTATCAAGGTACAAGATGAAAAACTACGGACGTTTCGTGGTTGGCACTTATCTATGCTTAAGCAAATCGATGAGAAACTACGAGAAATCGAACTCGAAACAGTTAATCTGCCCACGACAGTCACAACTAATACGACAACAGCAACGACTCCGACATCAATCATCGAAACGAATAAAACAATCATTAAACCATTGACAAACAAGAAAAAAGTACTGCGTCCCACCATTCGTCGACGTTTCGAAACCACGAATGTGAAACGCCATCACTCGCCTATTCCTCAGATTAAAATCAGCACCTATCGCTCGCGCACACCATCAGGAGAGAAAGAATCTCGTACATTAGTAATTAATTTACCACCTTCATCCTCCTCATCATCGTCGTCATCAGATAACGAACAAGATTTTCCACCGCCACCGGCACCTTCGGAGCCCATACATATTCGTATTGTGCAAAGTCCGAGTCATCCTCTATGCCAACGTTCACAAAGTACTGAACGTTTAATTTTACGTGATCAAGGTGCACAAACCGAACCATTCAATAGTTCGAATGGCTTCATTGATCATCGACCTATACGTCCAGCAAGTGTCGAATGTGATCGAATACAGCCGACACGTTCATTGACCCGTGCACAAAGTAATCAATTTCTTCAGCAAAATCAACAACAGAGGCCCATACCGCAACGGCCACAACTATTTCAGCCTCATCTCTATCAGAATCTTCCTCACCCGCAACAACAGCAACAGCAACAACAACAACAGCAGCAGCAGCAGCTGCAATTTCCTCGCCAGCAGCACACTCCACAAGCAAGTGAACAAATCAAATTCTACAGTTTACGTAGTCGAAATGTTCGATCGCGACCTAGTATTGTTACTCAGACACCAACGCCAATATCGCAATTACCACCCGTACGTCCTGTCATCCCGCATCGATCAGTATCTGTTGAGAAGAAAATACCGCCTCAACCTAGACCACAACCAAAATCAACTAATACTCACGCACCAAAAGTATCTGCTGATCCATCTGTATACTCGGATGATTATGGACATGTTACGCAAATGGATACGAGAAATTTAGGGACATTAGTCGACAAAGTTTTCGATGATATCTATCAAGACAAACCGTCAGATTTCTATCGAGATTATAGGCAACTTTTAAACGACATTCAAGTTCGATTTAGTATGGTCTCTTCGTCTGAACAACCGAATACTACACATCAACATAATCACCATCGTGCTCCTCCCCCACCTCCGACGGGCCCGGCTCCTCCACCACAACCGCCGCCACCGCCAACAATCTACCGATCGGCACCAGTATCAGCGCCGCCGCCACCACCAACAACATTGCCAACAAAACCAAATTTTCCTGAATATAAACGTGTGCCTAAGACATCATCTTCTCAAGCTCATCTCTGTGACACACTTATCTACATTCCGAACCCTCGCTGATTCTTTTTGTTTTGTTTTCTTTTTTATTTTAATATATCATATGTATAGGCCTTGTTATGATTTGTTATGTTTTCTCATCGGATGTCAATCAAACATGTCAGTCAGAGTCAAGAAAGGTTTTTCTCGTTTTATCAGTAATGAGAGAGTGAGAATATTTTTTAAACGAAGTTTGATTACAGCATAGTATCTATATACACATACATACATACATACATAGATTGATTACATCATTGATATTTTATGAATGACTCTTTGCTTGACAGGTACGCCAATTGATGTGACCGTTTATGACATTCAGCGCATATCGATTATCGCCGAACATAGTCAACCTGTCGTCGTACGAACGACCGTTGCTTATAAAGGTAAATCTATATACACACAGTTCAATGAAACGCTTATCTAACGCGATGAATCTCTCTGTATCTTTCTCTAGTAAATACCAGTCAAGCTGGCCAAGGTCAATTGAAAGTTGAACTTGTTCAACCTCAGACATCGAAAATTCCTTGTCGATGTCATATACAAGAAATCAATGCTCATGAATATCTCGTTCAATACATTCCAGTTGAACCTGGCCGTTATCAACTACGTGTCCTATTCAATAACCAACTTGTTCAGGGCAAAACTCTTGATATTGACGTTCATCCGTCATTACCACAAATATCAAAAACTGCTGGCACATCTTCGAACGTTCGCATCCAACAGATTCTTCCAACAAGCACGCCTGATGTTGGCGATGACATTTGTTTACAAGGTAAAAACTATATTTTTTATTAAAAATAAATTATTTCAATACGTTGTTTTATTTTCGCGTTACAGTCAATACAGAAAATCCTTCATTCTCATCAATTCAAGGTCATGTTTCGTGCAATGGAATGTCTGTTCCACATAAACTCGAACGCACTAAAGATACATCTGTTTGGCACTTGAAATTTCGTCCTTTTGTACCTGGCACTTACAAAGTACAACTGACCCATAATGGATTAGCTCTCACTAGTAAGTCAAATAACTTCGCAGGAGTTGTTTCTCGGGTAGAAAACGAATTTCAGCTTCAAGGTAATTGAACTCATTTAAACTAAATGAGGTTGAATTGATTGCTTCTAGTCCTATTTCCGCTTTTGATCTATGTTAATATAGCACCTTGAGCTTGTTCATCCAGAACGTTGATATAATTAGATTCGCATATCTTTATCTATCGAAATTATTATCATAGGTTCACCGTATCTAATTCAAGTCAAAGATGCAAATGGAAAAGTAGTTCTTTCTGGTCTCGAACAAACTTTATTAACGAATTCTCCATGTGTCATAGAAGGTAAATAGCATTTCATTTACTTGTTGTTTTCTCCAAAAGGAAACATTTCATTGAATGTCATGCAGTTCATGCTGAATCAACATCGAAAACACAAATTCAAGCGGTTGTTCTTCTCGGTACTCGACAGATTCCTTCGACAACAACAATTGTTAATGAGAGTCTTGCTCGAATCAATTTCGTTCCACAAGAGCCAGGCGTTTATTCAGTTCACGTTTCATCGGCCAATCAACCCATTGAAGGTTTCGATTCGAGTGAATTTTCAGCAAAACGAGAAAATTTACTTTCCTCTAGGGTCACCATTTTCTATTCGTGTGGAACGACCACGTGTTGTTCAAATCTCCGGCGAATGCTTCCCTCGTTTACGTCTTAACGATCTGGGATTATTTCGCATTCATTGCCATGGGCAACGTGGTTCCATTCAAGCGAAAATATTTAGTAAATCTCTATGTCCCTCTCACTTATCGTTCACAGATTTTCTTTCCCGTAGATCTGTCCGCAGGCGATCGATACGACATTGGTCAGACAATTTCATTTCAATTGCATGATACTTATGAGCATATAAGTCAATTTCCAGCACAGATACTTTTGAATTCATTCACAGTGTTATTGGCGACGAGATTGAAATTAACACAAGAAAGAATAAAAAATGTGCTTCTTGGAAAAGATAATGGTTTGTATTCACGACGTTCATATTTGAGACGATTTCAGTTTTCCTCGTTTCCCAACAGGACGTGCAACAGTATCATTTCAACTATATGAAATGCCATCACAGACACCAACCAATGAACAAGTTATTCATCATTTAAGACATTTAATCGATAAACAGACTTTGAACTTACTGGATCCCAATCGCTGTGTGTTGAATACAATTGTCGGATCAGTTGTTGTCGGTAGGGAATATATAGACATGAAAATCGTGTACATACTTTTTTCAATGCTGCTGTTGGTGAGTGTATCCTAACCATTTTTAATCATTAACTGCTCGAGACCAACACATTCGATGACTTTTCGGTCAACGTTAATCATTCTCGTTTGCACTTTTTCCATAGGACCAAAAGGAGAGCCAGTTAATGTGAAATTATTTCCCCAAGCTAGTGGTGACTATATCGGCGAGTTCACACCGGCAAAAATTGGTAAAGATCAATATCACTAAATGTGTTTTCACCGTGTTATTTTTGTTCTTTTAAAAGGTCAACATCGAATTGATATTACATTCGCAAATGTACCTGTACAGGGCAGTCCCTTCTTCACAGAAGTGTACGATCCATCACAAGTTCGCATTGGCCCATTGCCACGAGGCATTATTGCTGGAACAGAAAATACCTTCGAGATCAATCTGGATAATGCGGGCAATGTTCCATTAGAAATCAAAATCTCCTCGCCAACAGGTGTCAATGGTATGTAGTCAAAAACACGCCTAGAACTGTCTTAAGTTCATCGATGAATTCTAGTTCCTCTCAAAGTTGATGATGCTTCATCACGGTCTACAGTTAAAAAAGTACGCTTTACACCCAATGAAACCGGTGTACATTACTTAAATGCCAAATTTGGTGCAGAGATTGTTCCTGGTATGTTTTCCTGCATTTGTTTTACTGAATGTTGTGCATACAAGCATTGTTGACAGGTTCGCCAATTAAGATGATGGTCAATGAATCTCGCATGGTAACAGCTTATGGTGATGGCATTCATCATGCTCTACACGAAAAACCAGCTTCATTCATGATTGATACTCAAGAAATGCATGGTGATCTGAAAGTTCGCATCGAAGGTAACTACATCGAACGACAACCGAAATCTCTTTTACTCTAAAACTATCTTCTCATGTAGGTCCCAATTCAGTTATTAAAAATACACTTGAACGAAC